ATAGCCATTGCGCTAACTGCTGGTCCCAATAACTACTCTAGCTTATGCTGAATACAACAAGGCTAGGGTGTTCTGGAAAGTTTACTTGCAAACTAATATTTCAAGCTAATATTTGTACTTTTAAGATTTCTTAAAAACATCAATTGTACAATATAAATTTAGTTTAAATCAATATATTTATGTGTGGCCAGCAGGTGGAATATTGGTCAAGGCGATAGATTCTCACATGGTCAACAATAGCTTGAGTCCCAGACCTGGCAGCTTGCTTTCTCCCTCTCTCTCTCTCTGTCTGTCTCTGTCTCTCCTGGTCAAACTGAAGAATAGTAATCAATAAAAAAATTAAATAATTCTTAAAAAAAAAAACCAATATCTTTTCATCAGTTCCCATCCCATATGTGAGCTGATGGGATTCAATTCCATAGAAAAAACTCTTTACAGTGTCCTTTCTATGTCCTTCCTGAGTCCTCTGTAACAGAAAAATACTAGCAGAAGCATTTCCCCTTTAACCAGTTCCTGTTCCCTTATCACAGTTTTATCCCTCCACACTCCCTTCCTGCTTGGCAAAGGAATTTGAAAGGAGAGGGAACATCAAAAGTTTGCCCTCTATCCTCTACTACCACTTCCAATTCTATGTGTTTAATTCTTCTTGCATATTTATCAGTTCTCCCAGTTTCCTCTTCCATATGTCTTTCTGTGAACAAAGGATTAAGACCAAAGTGTTTTTCCTCTACAGACTCTTCCAGACCACACAAATCCATTCAATCCAAGTTACAGTAGGACTGAAGTTTCAGCTTCTTTCCCCCCGTGCTTGTTGTACAATACTGAACCAGGGGTGGAATGGAATGAAGGGATGACAAGAGGCCTTGGCCAGGTGGATACCTCTTCTCCATCTGGTTGGGATTTGGGGTACGCAGGCACACATGCCCAGCTGGGCTGCAAGCCTCTGGAAGGGCTCAACCACAGTGGTCATGTGGGGTCCAGCTCCCACAACCACCATGCCACCTGCCAGCAGAGCATTAATTTTTTCTCCCTCCCCCCTTTGGTATACTTTCTCCATTACCCTAACAACCACCTCTTATCTCACTGCCACCCTTCCTGCATCTTCCCCGTATAACAATTACCTTGTTATTGAAGTTGTGTTCAAAGCTGCTTATACATGGGCCATTCCATCCTATCCTTCCTTATGATGTAGGTAGTAATACTAATGAGCAGCTTTATATGCAAAACATTTCATTAAGCAGTTCACTCATCAACAAGGTTATTCTTCCTTTTTTCACAGCTAAAGAGGCTGACGTGGTGTCCTGGGTTATAACTGCAGGTAACCGGCAGAGCCAGCATCCGGTGACTGCACGTCTGTCTGGTTCTACAGCAGCCTTTCCGTGATCCATCCTCACCCCGCTGCCCTTATTGTCAGTCCGGACCTGGTGAACATTTGCCATCATACCTCTGCTCTCTCCATCCTTTCAGTACCCCTGGTCCTCTCCCTCCCTCCCCGACCCCACCCATTCCTTCTCCTCCATCCCAAGGGGCTGTCCTCCCTCTCTCCGCGACCTCACCTTCCTGTTGGAATCGTCCCCCTCTCCTCCTGTCCCCACACCTCTTACTTCTAGAAACCCCCCAGTGCCCCGAGTCCACGCCCTCGCGCCTCCGCCACGCTCCCCCGTCCCTCCCTCTCCCGGAGCCAAGGCGTAGGCAGCGACCACCACCATGTCCCAGGGGGCGCCGCGGGGTCCTCGCGCTCCCCGGCAGCCCCCGGCGCAGTGCAGGCTGGGGGAACATGGCCGCTTCCGGTCTCCCTCCCGGCCCGGAGCTGGCCTGACTGCGGCCCCTGCCCGGCGCACTCCCGCCTCCGCTCCT